TGTTGGTGTTCCACAGTGATCTGCTTTCTTCAGTTTACTTGTTCAAACCAAGTTTGTCACTCGTGCATCTCTGGATTGGTAGCTTTTTTTTTGGGGTGGGGGCAAATTTGGGAACAAAATTCAGTAATAAGTACATTTTTATTTTGAGCAAGTAACTGATCTCTCCTCAAGAAGTAGGTGAAGAGGTCCATCACATTTTTCAGGCAGCTGAGATGACTGCAGCTATTTGATGCTCAGGTTAATTGATGAGATCCAGTTTCCCATTGACAGTCTGCTTGTTTACAAAGAGACAACTGGCACAGTGGGAAGGTAATAGCTATAAGAAAGATAGATGGTTGAAGGCAGGGTGACTCTCAGAATTTATGAGCAAGGATAGACAGGGTAAGTGCTGCTGTTGATGTGCAGCTCTGACTCTATACAGGTCTTAATTCAGAATAATTCATGTAACAGTGAAGAATAACTTCTATTTATGTCGCACCCTTAATATAATTAACCATCCCAGTTTGTATCACAGCAGCATTATAAGACCAAGCATGAAACTGACCCACATGAGGAAATATAAAGGTTTTGGTCAAATTGACTTTAAGGTATATTCTGGGGGAGAAAAGCGAGCTACAGAGGTGTAGAGAGAGAATTCCAGTGTTCAGAGTCTAGGTATGACTGCCAATAATGGAGCAATTTAAATTGAATGCTCAGGAGGTTAGAATTAGAGGAGCACAGGTATCTCTGATATTTGTCAAGCTGGAGGAGATGACCATGGTAAGAACAGCGAGAGCATTGGGATTTTAAATCCAGACATTGTCTGGAACCACCTAGGTGGTGGTTCCAGGAATGGAGATTGCTGTGTGTTGAGACACTGGCAGCAAATTTTTGGATTACTTCAACATTATGAAGGGCAGCAAAGGGGAGAGCATTGGAATTGTTGAGTCTCGAGGTAACAAAGGTATGAGTGGGGGTTTCTGCAGCAGACTAGCTAAGTTGGGTGCAGTCAAGCAGTGTTGCGGACGTGAAAATGAACAGTTTTCATTGTAGCACAAATACGAGCTTGTTAGCAGCAGTCAAATGTGGCACCCAGAATGTGAACTGAATGGCTTAATTTCAGCATATTGCCATGGTGTAGGGTGGAGTTGGTAGTTATGGAACAGAGAAGAACAGGGACTGAAAACAAAGGCTTCTGTCTTCCCATATTTAATTTTAATCGTTCCATCATTGGCAGCTATGCTTTCACTTGTTTAGGTACGAAGCACCAGTATATCCTTCCAACATCTCCCTGTCTTCCCACCTCACTTCAATCTTTAAGAAGTTCCATCAAACCTTTGACCAAACATTTGGTGATTTGACCTAATCTCCTCCTATGGCTTGGTTCTGCTTTGTTTTATATTACTGTTGTGAAGAATTTTGGAACTTCTTTAATGTAGTGGTGCTATATAAATGTAAGTCGTTGATGAAACAGAAAGTATTGGTACTCATTGTACTGAATGTAGCTTGATTCTTTATCTATGTCCACAACAGAACTATGGCCCATGTGTCCCGTCACCTCCCTTTGATGCTCGTCGAGTTGGGAATTTCGCTGTGGTGGAGACTTTGTGCTAGTCACTGTCTTCCACCCGTCAGGAAGGGGGCTACACTAGCACATGACCAGTGCCTGATCATGCCATTGTCACATTTTGTGAAACTTGGTCTGTAATGAAGAAGGTATAGGAAGGTATCAGAAGAAAGGAAAAGAAGAATGAGAAAACGATAACCGAGTGAAAGAAAAATTGCCAAGTAACAGTAAATTACCCAGCCCCGGTAATTTTGCTCCTCTTAATCACATTCTGTGTTGTACTGTTACTATTCCTGAATAGGCACTTTAGTTAATTGCAGACTTTGCATTCCAAAACTTCGGGTACGTTTTAAAGCTAATAATGTGGACATGTGTGCATGGGGGCCAAGTCGTTGGTGCAAAAGCCCATCACAGTTCACTGAACTCATTTATCTGACGAATTCCTTACTTTCAGGCCTCTTTTATCAGTCCTCTAGTTCAAATATTTTTTGCCCTTATTTATATTTTAATTTTTTGTCTTGACAATGGAGTTTTCCTTTTTTTGATTACACAGCTTTCTGTGCTGTTTAGTGGCTTCTTTAATTAACTGCCCAAGTGTTTAGATATGTGGAATAATTTTCTGACCTTTGGAATTGAACTATGTTCCACCTGAAGGGTGCAACCATTATCTGAAAGGAAAATAGGAACTAAGTTCCCTGTATGTGGTTCAAGGATGACGGATTATTTTAGAAGCAAGCCAAGAGGCCTGTAGCTGGTTGCTAGGAGATGGAGTGCACAGCAGGGAATGCTTCAAGTCACTCAAACATTAGTGTATTGGCAAACAGTGTGGGGTTGAAATCCAAAATTAAATTTGCACAAATTTAATGAAATCTGTATCCAGTATTATTCAATAAAAGTATTGTGAAAGAATTTTGATTTTGAACTGCATTTGCTGCTAGCTTGTTGCTGCAACACCTTCAATCCTTCCAAGGCATTATTTTGAGGCACCTGACAGAACTGAGCACTATCACAAAGAATGTAGCTATTTAAAAGTGAAGAAAAGAGTTTTCAAAGATACTGTGGGGCTACGAGCAAGTTATTCAGGATCATTAAGACCCAAAGGTAGATTTCCCTTTTCCAACTCGGTGATGCAGTTTTCATAAATAAATGGAAAAAATTAAGCAGTTTGTGTCTAATTTTGTGATTTAAAGCTTTTGCTCCAGTCTTTCCCATGGTTTCAAATCAAACTGTATTTATTTTCAAGATGAACTGAATTTTCAATTTTGAGGATTCTGATTTTTGAGGAGTTAAAATTCTAAAGCTGTGGAAAAAGGGTTTTTGAACTTTATAATTCCTTGATTGGTATGGAGAAACAAAGACAAAAAGGGCTTGCACAACAGCCATCTAGCAACTGACCTCTCTCTGATTTGGCACTAGTCCAGTATTTCTGGTGATGTCCCCTTGTATACCTCCTAAAGAAAGACATCAGATATGTGTAACATCACTCATGATTACCTAAAATGTTATGCCAATTAATTACTTTTGAAGTGTAGTCACTTTTCTTTTGTAGTCATGTGTAGAATGCAAGTGTCACAGACAGCGTGTTTCGGTCATGGTGATGATAATTGTTGAGAAAAAGGTTGGCCGGGACACTAGCAGAACTACTCATCTTTAGTTTATAGAGTGCCATGGGATCGTCCACCTCTGTTTAACACCCCAAATAAAAGTTGGTCTCTCTAACAGTGTAACAAATTCTCAGTAGTGCACTGAAGTTCAGCCTCCACTAAATGCTCAATTCTTGGGATCCAATCCTAAATCAGTCACCTTCTGCTTTTAGATTGAGGCTTCCACAAGTAAGCTGATAACAAATGATAATTTGTACTTTTCGAATTAGACACACTTTAGTTGATTCTGAGGCAATGAATGAACTGTTTTGTCAGCTTGGTGACTTGAAAGATTATTCATTGACTACAAACAATTATTGTTTAACAGCATAGTCTGGTCCAAATTGCTGAGGTTCAATAGATCGTTTTTTTTATTAAACACAGAAATATTCTTGGTATGACGTTACTATCCTGAAGTGATAGGCTCAACAGGTTTATTTGAAGACACCAAAAGCTTTTGGAGTCTCACTTGGACACCAATACCACCTTTCTCACTGACACCTGAAGGAGTGAGACCCCGAAAGCTTGTGTTTTCGAACCAACCTGTTGGGCTATAACCCGGTATCGCGTGATTTTTGAACTTGTCCATCCCAGTCTAACACTGGTACCTCTCCATCATAAGTGATAGGCATCCACTGAACTTGACAGAAAAGTTGGGGCTTGTCCAATTCAGTGCAACTATACCTTTAACAGTGTGATACATCTTAATTACTGCTAAACAACCAATCTCAGGATGAAAACAAACTTTTACAAGTTGGGTGCTTTATCTCATTAGACTTCGTTTATTGTCAGAGATAGTAAGTAAAACCTGTTTTCTCCTCTGTGTTAATCTATCTTTGTTAATTGTACTTTTTTTTAATCTTTTATTTCGCTGTCTGTGCATGATTTGACATAGAATTAAACATTCCACCTTCCACTCCGGTCAAGGATAGACACAATTGCTTGCTCTGTTCTTAAAAGCCCCAGAACCACTGTAGAGGGTGCTACGTTATTTACTCTATAATACAGGAAGTTGCAGAATCCCACAGATAACCAATGCTAGGTTCAAGCGTAGTGAATGTCTTTCATTCATTGAAAGCAAGGTTCCAGCCCATTTCTTCATTTCAAGGGAACTGAACATCATTGAAGTTACTAAAAGAGTATTAAAGGTGCTTTGGTTCCTTACCAAAATGGTCATTCTTCTTGTGAGCTTTGACCATCACAAATCTCATGCATGCACTTTTCAAAAGACTTGCATAATTATGACCAATAAAGTGGCCTGTGTTTAAAAAAGACTTTCTTTCTACATGTCAAAATTCTAGGGGCATGGGTCTGGGTTGGATGCCCTATGGGTCGGTGTGGACTTGTTGGGCCGAAGGGCCTGTTTCCACATTGTAGGGATTCTATGATCTATGAAATCAATTGTAGTGACCAGCTGCTTCCGACTAAGGTTAAGGTTAAGAGGTATATCTTGCCAACGTGCAGATCTTTGGTCAATAATGTAAGTAGTACAGTGGATTCGGTGAAATGATTTCTTATTTAAAAGTGATTATGTTATGGAAAATAACATTGCACAATAAGTTCTTTGAGTGATAAGCAAATATAAATGAGCTAAATGATCTTGTATATGAGCAGTTCAACTTTTGCAGTGAATACTTTTAAAGCAATCCACTCTATTTCCTTACAACTACATACATCTTTATAACCACAGTATAGTGCAGCTAATTTATCTGTGAAATGCTGTTTAGTATTTTTATTCCTTCGTGCATGAAGTGCCTTTGCATTTATGGCCGACATACAGCACAGTAATGGTTTCTATTTTTCCTTTTCAGGAATTGGAAAAGTGAAACGGAAACCAAGTATTCGTGACACTGCATCCAATGCAGATGTGGATGGTTACCCAGACAATGGAGAACGTCTATATGATTTGAATGCTCCCGCTTATGTCAAGTTCAACTACACAGCAGAGAGAGATGATGAGCTATCTTTGGTTAAAGGAACAAAAGTTACCGTCATGGAAAAGTGCAGCGATGGCTGGTGGAGGGGTAGTTATAATGGACAAACTGGTTGGTTTCCTTCAAATTATGTCATGGAAGATCTTGAGGGCACCACAGTTGAACCTGTGGGATCATTGACAGAAAGACTAGCAGTTGTGATCAGTGCACACAATGCCAAAGTACTTCATGTTGTGCAGGCTCTATACCCATTTAGTTCTTCGAATGAAGAGGAGCTTAATTTCGAGAAGGGTGAAGTGATGGATGTTCTTGAGAAACCAGAAAATGATCCAGAATGGTGGAAATGTAGGAAGGCTGATGGGCAAGTAGGTCTGGTACCTAAGAACTATGTGAATATTGTGCAAACATCACCACCAGTCATTAGCCTTGGTCCAACACCACCTCGATGTGACTACATAGGAGCAGCAACTACTGGCAGGTTTGCTGGTAGTCCATGGTATTATGGAAAGATTACAAGGCATCAAGGAGAAGTGGCTCTGAATGAAAGAGGAGTTGATGGCGATTTCATAATTCGAGACAGCGAGTCATCAGTAAGTAATGGATTAGCTATTGTAGAATTTTGAGTTTGTGTTTTCAATTATCATGCTTACAGTATTCTGATATTCCTCACGGGAAGTATGCTAATACATTATTTATAACTTTCTTTAACGTGTGTAATTCTTTAGTTTTCTGATTTGAAACTAATGGAGGGGACAATGAGGCATTACTGTATTGTTACACAAGTTCTTTAGATCCTATTTGAATAGATTGCTTCTAGTGAGTTTAATATGGACTAGCATCATTTTTGGCACACCCCTTCCCTGCAATACCTGATTTTTTTATTTTGGCATTTCACCAGAAGTCACGAGGACTTTAATATGAACCTGATTTGGGCATTTGCAACTAAAGGATCCCTCCCTTTTCTACTCTGAACATAAGATTTTACATACTATAGTTCATTGAGTCTTTGAGTTTTTTCTTTTCTCCATGAATTGAACTATAGCATCAAAAATGTTTGCCGATCAAAACATTAGCAATGTGGGGAGAGAAGCATACCTCCTTTCTCATCAGGTATGTGAGTGACTACCTATGAGGCTAGAAATACAGAAATTTACTCTAATTCTTTCTATCGTTGCTCACTGATACTCAATGGTGTGCATGCATTGTGTGAAAGAAGAATGGAGTTGGCACTTGGAGTATATGTATTTAAAAAGATACTTAATCAGCCCTTACTTTCACTTTTTTTTACAGCCCAATGACTTCTCTGTGTCTTTGAAGGCCCAAAACAAAAACAAGCACTTCAAGGTACAGTTGAAGCAAGGTCTCTACTGCATTGGACAGCGCAAATTTGACAGTATGGAAGATTTAGTGGAACATTACAAAAAAGCTCCAATTTTCACAAGCGAACAGGGAGAGAAATTGTTTTTAGTTAAACCTTTATCTTAATGCGGAAGGTAAAGATCCACTGAAATGGATTCTTCTTGCAGGGAGAGAAAAAAACAATGGAAGCAAGGAAAATTATGATTTTTATCTGACTTACTGGCAATAATGACCTAAAACAACAGATTTACTTAAGTTTTCAATTTTAACTACACTTTGTGTCCCATTTGCATTGTAATGCTGTTTAATTTTGGATAACCCTTTCTTGTATGTAAAATTTTGTGCCTTGCTTCTGTTGAGCTGCTCGTTGTGAACACACTGCCTACAGTTACCTTTTTATCATAAATTTGTCCCACTTTGCCCAATAATCTTGAATTTTTTATATTTCACTTACTACATGCTATATATAGTATATCACTTATTAAGTCTTACTACAGGTCTTTGAAATGTCTCTGTGCTTTAGAACCTTGTTGATTAGCTTGTGATATGTGAGATGTGAAATTTTATGTATTGTGTGTTTAGAATATTCATTTGCCTTTTCTGACTTTTCTTCAGTTATTCACAAGAGATATCGATCAACTATGATTTAATTTTGTTTGAACTCTTTTGGTAGAGGGTGCAAATTGCATCAGGATAAGTGCTCTAGTGTGACATAAAATGTGGACATACCAGATTTTGCCTTAATCTTTCAAACCAAAGGCTGTGTATAACTACTGTAATGTTTATATATAAAGTTACAGTTTAATCACACTTTGGTAGGTCCCGCATTAGGATGTGACTTTAGTAATATCCTTTAATATGTTTGTGTCTGTATTTAACTCCTAGGTTGAAACATAACTGATTTGAATTGATCTGTCATGTTTGATCACAGTCTCCACTTAATGCTTGCTTTGTTAATGGCTCATATTAGGGGTGCATCATATATTGTGTTGTTTAGCTTGTAATA